TTCGTGGATTCTTCAGGAGTTCTTTCGTAGGTTTTTCGAGAGTTCTTTCATAGGTTCTTCGGGAGTTCTTTCATAGGATTTAATACTACGTGAACATTTATTTATTTTGGTTTTAAGCCACATTTTTATAAAAAAATTATTTTGTGAATTTTTGTATAGTACTTATTATTTTCGTTTTATGAATCAAATTTTGGACTTTTTCATATATTATTAAGTCGTCTTGTTGATGTGAATATGGCGTATGAAGCTATGAATTAGAACTAGTGTTGTAACGATAATTTGCCAGATATCAGATATGCAAGACGAACGATTCTATTTATATATTATAGATTATTATTTTTCGATAGCAATATTATGTTAATTTTTAACACTTATTTGCTATCATATTGTAACATATTAAAATTATATTACGATTCTTGGTTTCTTTTAAAATATATATCGATATGAATTGTTAAGGGATAACAATAATTGATCATTTTTATACCTTTTTTGACAATTTTGTATTTTATATTGATTTACTATTTACTTTTTAAACTTTTCTACCAGTAGGGTTCAGGGCACGGGTAAAAATTAGGCATGCCCACAAGCAGTGTTGTATGTTTGGGCATGTCCAAAGCTTTTTTGGTCCAACGTCCAAGTGTCCAAAATGTCCAAGCTGTCCATAGCCTTAAAGAAATTATATAATTATATTTTCCGTTTAATTTTAAACATTTTTGTTTAGAAGTTTTAAATAGGTAATCTTCATAAAATTTTGTGCAAATTCAATTTATTATTTTGTCCAAAATGTCTAAGGGCTGTCTATGTATAACACTGCTCACAGGGCAGTGTTGTCAAATTGGACAAAAAACTGCGCCACAATTTCAATCACCCGCTTAGTATCATGTGATGTCTTACAATAAAATACAAATTAGAAAAAATACAGTAATTCCATTGGCTGTAAAAAATGCAAAAATGAACAAAAGCTATACTGCAATTTGATTGGTTAATCTGATGAGTTTTTTTATTTAAAATAGAGAAGGAAAGGTTATGTTAAATAGAGAATCAAATTGGTCTGACCTTTAGGGTATCTGGCATAGTAGTACAGGCATGCCAATGATGGCATGCCATAGTGGCATACCAGTGGCATGCCTCAAGGCAGTTTGGCATGCCACCTAATAAAATTATTTATACATATACTAATTCTTTTTATACTATATAATTTATGTAAAGCAATATGCTATTAACATAAAATTAGTATAGTGAATAATTTTATAAAATGTAGGCTTCAAAGACTTTTTTATATTGCATTAGAATTTTCTTTATTAAAATATTTTACTTAACATTAATGATTAATGAGTATATAATGATAAATAATACATGGTATTAACTGTCAAAAAGATTATTATTTAATATCACTACTCAATGTTACTTAAATGGCATGCCACTGGCATGCCATGGCACAAATTTGAATAGATGGCATGTTACATGGCATGCCAATTTTTTTGAGTATGCCAGATACCTTACTGGCCTTACATAATTTGTTATATAGGAATTCATAGCAAAAAGATGCTTCAGGCTAACCAATCAGATTTTGAGATTTTGTATAATAACTAATAAACAGTTTTATAAAAACAACTAATTATCAAGTATATTCATAATTCTAAAGTTACTATTAAAATCGTATAAATTTAAATCCTGTGATTAAATTTTAATAATTAGAATCATCTCACTGAGACGAATATTTTGGTAATTAAATTATCTAAAACGGACTAGTAGATCAAAAGTTATTGCCAATTCTATAAATCAGCCTATATAATAACCTATTCCAATCAGTGTTGGCCTATGACCTGTTATGACCTATATGACCTCTATAACCTGTCATAGGTCATTTGGTCATAATGAATATTGATATGACTTATGACCTTTTTAATATAGAAAAATTTATAGCAAAAATTTTTTTTACTATTATTTAATATGACCTACAAATATGACCTATGACAAGTCATATGATTATATGACTAAGGTCATATTAAAAAAATGTTATGACTTAGGTCATTTGCCAACACTGATTCCAATAGCCTCTAACTATAATTTCCCTAACCTAAATTTTATCTTCACGAAGAATTGTCAGGGTGGTCCAAAAGTCATCTAATCATGTGCAACAATACTTAGATGTTGCGGCAGCGTCTAACCCGAACTTTGGTATTCTAAGCTAAAGTTCGGGCTATTTTCGAAATATGCTATATGGCTGCGGCGGTAACTTATACCATGTGATCCGAACGCGGGTCCTTCACGAACTTAGTTTATTTACAAAATTAAATTACAAATTTTTGTTTTGCTAAAAATGAATGAGGACTTACGAGCGTTAATTATTTATCTTAAATTTCTACGTATATATTTTTTATAATAAAAATTTATACCGTATTTCCAAAATTGGTTCTTAAAGATAATACGTACGTACGTATTTCATACATACTAGATACCTGATATCGATATGATTACTGTATCATCCGTACATCGTTACCTTACTGATCTCAATTTATTTATTAATGCTAAAATTGATTATAATTACACGTGTTTGTAGTCAACAAAAATTTATCGACTCGACTAAGCTGATATTTAATAATCGGCTTGGCAGACTAAGTCTATTTCCTATCTGCATAGTATACTGGTTACATAAACCTGTATTTCATGCTAATCTACCGAATTTTGCGCACAGAATAACAGAAACGCGTGAATTATCAGAGTTCTGTCCATACATAAAGGATATAATTAATATAATAGGGATTTCAGAATTAACCTATTTCAAAAATAAGTAGGATTGTTTTAAATCAGACACGGGATCATTAATTCTAAAACTGCGCATACATTTCGTGTCGTCTCTAATTCGTAATTTTTACATTCATGAATATTAGATAACCAGATAAAACATGATCATACCCAGTGTAAAAAATTCAGTTGAAATTAGGTTCTACTGTTATATTCCCAAAAATTATATGCACATAATTTACAAAAAAAATTTGTGCGGGCTGTGCACATATATATTTTTTTATAGTGCGCAAAAAAATTTTATGTGTGGAGCGCATATGCGCACATTGAATTGTTATTCACAGAATCAGCATGAAACAAAATAAATGTCTAAACCTATTTCGGGCTTCCCGAATTTCTAATCTGGAGAAAATCTCTATCCAGTAATTTACTATATATCTCGGGTAACCGTATAGCGATAGCAGTAATTTTTACTCGGGTCCAATCCTTAGTATTTTTTTAAAAAACTCATTTTTCTTTTATTTCCCAAAAATATACTGATTTTCCTAGTTAGATTAATAATAAAAAAACCAAGTACAATACATAGTTTTTTTTTATTTCGCTTTTTTTTGTTTTTTGAATAACGATATATATATGTAGTTGTTGTTACTGTGAATAACAAAAGTGACGTCTTGTTAGCGTATATATATTTCTTGAATTAATATATATGTAGTGGTTGTTGCTGTGAATAGCAAGAGTGATGTCTTGTTAGCATATATATTAATATGAATTTAAAAACCATATATGACTGTAGACGGTGTAGTAATAAGTAGTAAAACCTCTTGCAAGCTCTAGCCATACGAATGTGATGGAAAGCTATCTTGTTCAAAGTTTTACTGGCTTATTACTCTAGTAAAAGCTCTTATCTTCCGGCTCACAATGAGGTCATAGGATTAAATTCATTTAAAACGGCTACAAAAGAACATCCGAAGTAGAGCTTGTACCCGCCTAAAAATTTATACTCCGGTTTACTCACCCGTTATGTCAGTATTAACCGGGTCACAACCTGGGTTACTTCAAATGATTCGAGGTAACCCAGTGAACTGGTTGACCCGCTAATTTATGTTATTTATGCCGACGTAAGTCCTTTTTCGTGAACTCCCGGAATACTCTCCTGAAAATTTTATGATCTTGCTCGTCTTTTAACGTTCGTTAAAAGAACGTACCCGATCTAAAGTGAATCACACACATGGTGTGATCAATTAAAACTGAAATTATTTATATTAGTTTTAATTGATCACACCATGTGTGGGATTCACTTTGGATCGGGTACGTTCCCTCCTGTTCAAAAGACCCCGAAGACTTTACGAAAGAACCCGACAAAGAGTTCTAGAAGACTCTACGAACGAACTCCCGAAGAACCCGCGAAAGAACTCTCGAAGACCCTACGAAAGAACTCCTGAAGAGCCTACGAAAGAACTCGCGAAGACTCACAAAACTCCCCAAGAACCTGCGACAGAAGCCACTAAAGAACTCCCGAAGAACCTACGAAAGAAACCACGAAAGAATTCTCGAAGAACCCACGAACGAACTCCCAAAGAACTCACGAAAGGACCTACGAAAGAACTCCCGAATAAACCACGAAGAACTCCCGAAGAACCTACGAAAGAACTCCCTAAGAACCCACGAAAGAACCCACAAAGAACCCACGAAAGAACTCTCGAAAGAATTTTCGAAGAACCTACGAAATAACTCTCGAAGAACCTACGAAAGAACTCTCGAAGAACCCACGAAAGAACTCCTTAAGACCCATGAAAGAACTCCCGAAGAATCCACAAATGAACTTTCGAAGAACCCACGAACGAACTCCCAAAGAACTCACGAAAGGACCTACGAAAGAACTCCTGAAGAACCCACGAAAGAACTCCCGAAGAAACCACGAAAGAACTCTCGCAGAACCCACGACAGAACCCACACAGAACCCATGAAGAACTTCCTAAGAACCCCCTAGAACTCCCGAAGAATCCACGAGCTCAAAGAACCCACGAAATAACTCTCGAAGAATCCACGAAAGAACTCTCGAAGAACCCACGAAAGAACTTCCTAAGACCCACGAAAGAACTCCCGAAGAATCCACGAAGGAACTCTCGAAGAGCCCACGAAAGAACTCCCTAGACCCACGAAAGAACTCACGAAAGGACCTACGAAAGAATTCCCGAAGAAACCACGAAAAAACCCCTAATACCCAAGAAAGAACTCCCGAAGAACCTACGAAATAACTCTCGAAAAAACTACGAAAGAACTCCCGGAGTAACCATGAAAGGACTCCCTAAGACCTACGAAAGAACTCCCGAAGAACTTACGAAAGAACTCCCGCAAAACCCACGAAAGAACTCTCGCAGAACCCACGAATGAATTCCTTAAGACCCATGAAAGAACTCCCGAAGAACCTTCGAAAAGAACCTACGAAAGAACTCCCGGAG